AATAAATTCCCCTAAATTCTTAATATTAAAGTTCTCAGGAAAGAAGGTTTCTTCGTCGGACTATTTGGTGGCTTATGGAATCTCAAGCAGAAGAGTGGGTTGCCTTTGAAAAAGCCCAGCAGAAATGTGTAGCCCGTAAAATTACTCTTACTCCAAATAAATCTTCTTTCCAGATATGCTCTCAAATTTTTCAGAATACATTTATTTATGACAATACCAATCAAATAATGCCATATTTATGTATATATTCAATAGTGAGGCCTCATTTCTTTCTCTCTTTTAGCCTTCACCCAGAGTTCAAACCGGTTGGTTACTGTATTTGCACAAGAATTGCTCACGTTCACGTCCAGTGTCCGATGTGGGGGGCGCAACAGTACGAATCGAGTATAGTCCCGTCACTGCAATTGTATATCCTGAAGGTGGACTGAACGACTTTACACCAGCTTCGATTTACAAAATATGGTCTCATGAAAACATGCGCTACGATTGAAACGTAAGTCTGCTCTATGTTGAATAATAAAAAGGAGAATCCCACCAACTGCGTCAATAACCTTAAGAAAATCCAACTTAATATCATTTGTTGTTTAGAAGACTAAAGTCCGCAGATAACAAACTCACTGTACTTTAACACTGACCAGAAAAGAGGATAGACGCTCACCACCTCTCCGTTGATTTTAAAGTGGTCTCCGACAGCGCGAAAAGGGATTGCCCCCAAGCTACTAGATCTGCGCTGGAGTTCTGCTTCCTCCAGACTGAATAAGAAAATAAAACGTATGGGTCTGGTAGAGAAGGAGGGTAAGATGAAATATCTTCTATTATCAAACGGCAGTTATCGCTTGTCAACAGATACTTTCTTTGACCGAATAGTCGCTCTCGATGAAGAAATGCCAAATTCTATCGTTGTCGCCACCATTTCCGTCTTGTTGATTTTGACGATGACAACATATGATAAGACGGCGTTAGTAGTTTTCGAGAGAAAGATTTTCAAACGATTGATGGTCCTCTGCGCATTTTAAAAGTCAAATATCCCAGTCGATGAAACGACGAGCTATACGAGATGTGGGTCAATAATGACATAATGCAGCGAATTGGAAACAGTGGCTATACTGCTGCTTTGAAGATGGAGTACTCGCCGATGAAAGCAGAGGAAGAGAAGACCTCCATTCTGGTGAAAAGTCCAAGTGAGGAAGAACCTGGAAACGCTTGGGGTCTCCAATTCGCGCCAACTAGTGAGAAGAGGGAATGTTTGCCACACAGTTGTTAACTCGGCTATAATCGCGTAAGCGATGGAGAAGAAGAAGATGAAGAAATTTTTGAATAAAGCATGTAAAAATCCAAAAATTTACAAGAATCTCTCGGCATTTTATGTTTTTGAAATTAAAAAAAAAATTTTGGTGAATATATGTAATTAATGGTCAATAGGAAGGAACAAAAAGTCTGCTCTGTTGTTAAGGTTCTTCAGAGAGCTGCCTCTGTCGAGCTTGAATTCTTGAATTTTTCAAATTAATAACGAATTTATGCTTGAGTCAACATATAATATAAGACTACTAAGCCTAATACTAATACTAAAGCAGAACAGAGCGCCTGTTACGGTAAAGAAATCTGTCTGAATAAAAACAATTAGTTCTTTATTGATACTTAAGGGTTTTCTTTATTGAAGTTTAAATTATTTCGAGCGAGTAGCTTTTCCTAAAAGTGTGTTCCAAATAAAAATATTAAAATATTCTCGAGAGTGTCTTCCATTATTTTCCGCGTGATTTCACTTTCTAATTAAATAACCATAAAAACATTTCATTTTTAAAATAAAAAACAAAATCGAAAACTTAATTATGCACACCTACATACGTAGTTAAATATTTATGTAAAACTTGGTTGTAATTAACGAAGTAATTAATAAAATGTGCTCTTCACATTTAATGCAACTACACAAGTACCTCAATATATGTACCTCTATGTACCATATACAATTTGAAAGTGCGACTATGCACTGCGGTGTGTAATTAGAACTTTGCCAGGTAAATGTGTAAATGATTTATTATCTGATGGGTAAAGGTGTCATTAATCGCAAATAAATGTAATTAAATGGTACTTAAACATAAAAATAAATTGCGCATCTACACACATACATATTAGTGCATATAACTAAAGTGTTTCAATGTTTCACGATTGTAGACAAAAGTATTTGAGTGAAGTGCAATTGCCTCCTTCCCGGCAACAATATTTTTTTTACTTTAGTTTCAATTATATTTTATTTTATTTTTTATGCCTTTACTTTTTATATATTTATTTAATTTATTTTTATTAATGTTAAGCTTTATTTTAATTTTTTTGTTACTATTTAATTTAGCACTTCCACTGCACTTGAGTTTATTCCACATAAATAAATCCGCAGCAACATATAAATTTAAGAAAACAATTACCAAGCAAACTTCGTCATATGAATTAATGACTTTTGCATATATGTATATGTGTGTAGCCATATGACATGGTCAATTAGCTGAGCTTTGCAATGCCAGGCAAAACTTTAAAAAATTACGCGCCAATAAATTTATTTAAAAATTTTCGGTTGTATTTGTTATTACCATCAATGCGGATTAGACGAAAAGACATAAGTATTTATTTGTTTTGGCATACTATGCAACATAAATAAAACAAAAAGTAATATTAATACTAAAATAATATTTTATAAAATAAAATTTAATTTTAAGACAAAATTTAATATTAAATGAAATAAAACCAATTCGATTAAAAATGATGTAAAACAAAATTTTATAATATTAAATATATTGAAATAAATAAAAGAAAATAAAAGCAAAATAAATTATTAAAACACAAAATAAATATTATATAAAATTAGAACAAAATGAAAACAAAAATAAAATCAAATAATACGAAACAAAATAACATAATATGAAATAAAATTAAAAAAAAACTAAATAAAACTTCACAAAGTTAAAGGAAAAAATGAAATGAAATAAAAGAAATTAAACTAAGAACGAAAAAAAATAATAATAAAATCAAATTAAAAAAGGAAAAATAATATTAAATTACATAATTTAATTTGAAACTTAAGCAATAAACATAAAGTAATCCGTTTAAAATTAATTAAATTAAAATAAAAAAAGTAAATAACATAACATAAAATAAAATAAAATAAAATCAATTGAAATAAAATTAAAACACAAAAAAAAAAACAAAATAAAATACAAATTAATATAAAAAAAAAAATAAAAGAAAAAACTAAATTAAAATAAAATAAAATAAATAAAATCAAATAAAATAAAAATAAATCAAATAAAATAAAATAGAATAAGATAAATAAATTAAAGCAAAAGAAAAATATAAAAGAATTAAGTAAAATTAATATTAAAACAAAATTTAATAAATTAAAATAAAATTATATATAATAAAAGAAAACAAAATAAACTAAACTAAAATATAATGAAGTAACAAAATATTAAGTTAAATAAAACAAAATTTAAGAAAAAAAATAAATAAAAAAAAATCAAATAAAATATAAAATAAAAATAAAATAAAATAAAATAAAATAAAATAAAATAAAATAAAATAAAATAAAATAAAATAAAATAAAATAAAATAAAATAAAATAAAACAAAATAAAATATAAAAAAATTAAATAAAATACAATAAAATAAAATGAAATGAGATAAAGTTAGTTAAAGTAAAATAAAAAAATAAAATTAAGCTATTTTAATTAAGTAAAGTTAAATAAAATAAATTAAAACAAATAAAATAAAATAGCATAAAATAAAATAAAAAATTATATATAATTAAATGAAATATAATAAAAAAATTAAAAAAAAAAATCAGATAAAAAAAGAGAATACTTAAAATAAAATGATTTAGTAAACAAAATAAAATAAATTATATATCAAATAAAATAAAATAAAAGAAACAAATTAAAATAAAATAAATAAATATTTAATAAAATAAAGCAACTTAAGCTATAATATTTTTAAGCAAATTATCGCGCTATTTCATAGTGTGGTTTTATCAAATATTCAATGTGTTATATCATGTGGCGTAGTGTTTTTTTTCCGACACATGGCCGGGTTGAGGGTCAATTGTTTGTGGCGCATGCTTATGCCATGACACTGCACAGCTGTTGAAAGTTTTGCGGCCTGAAGGCGAGGGCCGCGGTTGTGGCGATCGTTGTAGCAACGCAACAAAAATTATGATGATTACGATGATGCTACGAAACGGATATGGCATGCAATTGAGCATCGGCAAAGGTTGAGAAACTGCAAACAAGAAGAAGACAAATAGCTCGTAGTTTTGCCAAAATTCATTGAAGGTGTCAAGCGTGAAGAGGGTGTTAAAATGTTTGCACCAGTGGCGCTGGCGGCACACTTGATGCAGTTGTCAGCAATGAGAACAATGCAACGGCAACAACAACAATACTAGCTATAATCGAACAACGACAACAAAAGACTTGGACTTCTTAAAGCGAAGAAACTCCATTCGAAACTCACATTAATTTGAATTTGCTTATGTTTGTGTGTATGTATGAGAGTGCTGCAGGTATTTGTTAGTGTATTTGCTTGTAAATTACTACGAGATCGGTCATTAATTGCGCCGTTGGCTGATCTGAAGAGAATTCACTAAGCAATATTTGTTGCTATTGCTTGCGCGTTGTAACCATATTAAGAGTAGTAGTTGTTGTTGTTGTTGTTGTCTGAATTGTGGCATTTTATAAGAATAGAATTTGTATTTTATTTCCATTTTCAACATTTTCAAACGCAACCAACTAAAGCAAAAGCATAATAAAAATTACAAAAACAATTGCAACAACAACACAGACCAATATAACAACAATAAGGAATAAAAATTTATGTTGGTATTTTAGTTTAGCGCATATAAATAGTTGTGTCTTAACACTATGGAGGATTAGTTGTGGCAGAACCTCAAGTGAGAACGTTGGTAATACTCGCATCATCAACAACTAAAATTCAATCGGAACTCTGAAAAAATTATCCGAAATGCAACGCGTTTGCTTAGTATTGCTCAGCCTGAGTGCTGCTGCAATGGCGGGTTTCCTTGGTGGTGGCAGTAGTGGCGGCTGGAGCTCCGGCGGTGGAGGGGGCGGTAGCCGAGGCTGGAGCTCAGGTGGTGGCGGAGGCGGCTGGAGTGGTGGCGCCGGCGGCAGCGGTGGCATCTCCTTATGGCCTAGCAAATCTTCTTATAGCAGCGGCGGAGGCGGTGGTGGTTGGCGTTCCTCAGGCGGTTGGTCCGGCGGTGGCAGTAGTGTCGGTAGTAGTGGCTGGCCGAGTAAGAGCAGTTATAGCAGCAGCTGGTCTGGTGGTGGTGGTGGTAGTGGTAGTAGCGGTGGTATATGGAAACTAAGCAGCCTTGGTGGTTCAGGTGGACGCGGTGGAAGTGGTGGCGGCTGGTCTTATGGAGGTGGTGGCGGCGGTAGTAGTCTAAGCTCTGGTTGGGCTCAAGCGCTCAGCGGCTGGAAGTCAAGTTTAGGCGGTAGTGGTGGTGGTGGCGGTTGGAAGTCAGGCGGCGGTGGCGGTGGTTTTGGCGGTTGGAAATCTGGTGGCGGTAGCAGCAGCGGCTGGTCGCTGGGAGGTGGCGGTGGTGGCGGTTGGCCATCTGGTGGAAGTAGTGGTTGGTCGTCCGGTGGTGGTGGTGGAGGCAGCGGTTGGAAGTGGTGAGCTGTGTAAATAAGAGACTTGAGCCATTGAAGTGAGTGGTGTATGTAGCAATCGTGGGCGCTATTGTGTTGTGTACTCGTAAAAAGTATTTTTCCCAAAAGTAAAATGTAAATTTTAATATTTTCTCACACGCTTATAAATATACTGACACCTATAAATATATGTACATTTTTGTAAATAAAGTCAAATGCATTTAAAAAAATTTAGAAAAAATAATTACTTCATTTTGGCCGTAGCATTTCTTGCGAAGGCCCTTAATAGCCACTAAGTCCTTCCGTAACAGCGAGAAAGCGCGGGAATTCGGCAGCAGCTTGCTTTGACTCTCCTATAAAGAAATGTAGAGTTCCTTTCATGTAGAATTCCTCAATTAGTCCTATAACAACTCAGATCCTCTTCCATCTTTTTGTTTGGTTAGAGATCGTAACTGGTGGATTAGATGTTGAAGGAATGGGACGATCAGGACCATTCTTCGCTAAGAATTGAGCTTCTGCCGATGCATGCTGAGAGCTGTATTAGAATGTGTAGTCCGAAGTTGTTTGCCTTATTCAGAACCCACGTTAGAACAGCTATGATAAGGAAGCCTGAAGGAGGTAGGAAAAAGTAAAAGGGCTCATAGCCTGGTATATAGCGTACGTTCTGATCTTTTACCAACAATTGAAGGGACTTACAGTTTATTCTACGTCTCCTCGCAAAGCAGATACATTTTTGTTTGAAGGAAGATACTCGGAGGGCTTCATATCCTTGCCAAGAAACGACCGCAATCAGAAAAACTGGGGAGCTTAGTGTGGCAAGGCTTCGTACTCCTCCGAGCCCGAGTGCAGCGTCTAGTCAATTAGACTACGTGAGACTAGTTTACCGATCGCTGATGAATCTAGCATTATCGGCATGTACAAGGTGTGTTAAATTTTTCGCGGGTTACCTATAATCGAATTTTGATTTTTTTTGTGGCGTTATGTTGGTACTCATGTCTGTCACTTATGCCGACAACCTGGGCCATTTTGAATGTTCACTTAATTGTTGACAGCTACTTTGCTTGCACGAGATTTGGATGGTCTTCGATTTTTACCTATTCAAAAAAATGGATCAAAGAACCTATATCAAATTTTGTGTGAAAAACGAAATTAAGTGCGCGGATGCATTCCGAATGTTGACTGTGGCATACAGAGAAGCTTCCTTGGACCGAAGCGACGTTTATCGGTGGTACAAAATGTTCTTAGAAGGCCCAGATGATGTGAACGACGAAGAGCGTGCCGGACGTCCGAGCACTTCAACTACAGACGAAAAAATTAATTGCAGGGGCGTGGTGCATCATGAGTTCTCGTCACAGGGTAGAACGGTCAATAAGGAATATTACATGCAAGTTATGCGCAATTTGCGCGAAGCAATCCGCCAGAAACCCCCGGATTTGTGGAAGAACAAAAATTGGCTTTTGCACCAGGATAACGCCCCTGCTCACACATCGTTGGTTGTGAGCGACTTTTTGGCCAAAAACAACGCACTAATGATGCCGCAGCCACCGTATTCCCCAGATCTGGCCCCCTGTGATTTTTTCTTGTTCCCTAAACTGAAGAGGCGCATGAAAGGACGACGTTACGCTACGATTGATGAGATAAAGACGGCATCGAAAGAGGAGCTGAACAAGATAAAAAAATGATTTTTTGAAGTGCTTCGAAGATTGGAAAACCGTTGGCACAAGTGTATAATATCTCATGGGGATTGCTTTGAAGGGGACAAAATAGATATTCATGAATAAATAAATAATTTTTGAAAAAACAAAAGAAATTGCGATATTTTTGAACACACCTCGCACATTTCCTTGTCTTATTGCTTAATTTAGCTGAGGCGGCAGCCAACAAATCGATCTTCATATGTGTGGAGCTCGAGACCAAAAACTGAAAATTTGCAGAGTTAGTTTTACTGATTTTCACATTCTACTCAGCTAATTTCGGCTAACACGTAAGCTCTCTAATGAATACTTCACGTGAGCAGCTCTTTGGCCTGTCTAGGTTCGAAGCTTTGGATATATTCCAGGGTTATTGTTACTCACTACTTTAGAAGATAGTTAAAGACACTGAAGTGACGGACGCTGTTGAATGGGACTGCTTTACCTGTGTCTAGCTCGTTGACTTTTATTTGCTTTTTCATGTCACTTCGAAGCCTTTTGGTACGTTCTAAGGCTCTCCTGAAACGTATGATATTTGAGAAGTCAATTTTTGTGTCTTTTCAATATCTATTTTTCCTTTATTAAAAAACATATAAATCGGCAAGTTATTTATGTGCATAAGACGAAAACATTTGGTTTACAAATAATTGAGTTTTATGCGCTTTCTGTTGGTTTTTTCCTCAGTAAGCGTGATGGTTCGGTGAATGGACACAGCTCTTTGATCAAATAAACAAATCCAGTCGAACATTTGGTTTACCACTGTTTACCGCCACCACCATAACCACCTTTACCGCCGCCGCCATAGCCACCACCACCATGTCCGCCACCGCCACCACGTCCGCCACCCCCACCACCGCTTTGCCAGCCGCCGCCGCCTCCACCACTCTTTCCACCATATCCACCGCCACCACCACCTTGCCAGCCGCCACCGCCTCCACCACTCTTTCCACCATATCCACCGCCACCACCGCTTTGCCAGCCGCCACCGCCTCCACCACTCTTTCCACCATATCCACCGCCCCCACCTCCTTGCCAGTCGCCACCGCCTCCACCACTCTTGCCACCGTATCCACCCCCGCCTCCACCGCGTTGCCAGCCTCCACCGCCACCGCTCTTTCCTCCATAGCCACCACCACCGCCGCTACCGCCGCCACCACCTTGCCAGCCACCACCACCCGCTACAGCTAAAGCTATCAAGCTCAACAGCAAAACAACTACGAATGCACGCATCTTTCAATTGTCTCGTCGAGGACTTTGTACGGTTCTGGTTTGCTGATTCGTTGATTTGTTGGATTTGTTTGATGTGTGTTGTGTATTGTCCAACTCTGATGGTTGGCTTCACTGATGCCGCTGACAGTTGCAACATCGCTTTTATACACACAAAACCGCTGCTGCATTTCACGCCTTGGCGATTGTTTGGCAGTCTCATTCCCTTTTTGCGCTTTTTGCACTTTTTACGTTTTTAACAATTTCATGCTTTTTTATTTTATTGTTTTTTAATTTTTTAAGTTTCTATTATTTATTTTTATTTTCATTTCAATTTGTTATTGTATTTTTTTTGTTTTTGCAATAATTATTACAAGTATTTTTACAATTTTTTTAGTCGACAATTAGAGAAGTTCACATCGGCGCGCTCATCTCAAGCATAAATTAACAAAATCAGTCTGTCTACACAACATACTACATTACAATTGTTGTATATTTATATACACATACAACAATAGCAAAATAACACACATACTGGATGGAGTTCACACTTGCACCGTCATGACTTTGGCGAGCAGAACTTTTCTGTAGAAGCAAAAAAGCAGGAAAGAATAAGTCAAACTGAGTTAGAATCAAATAAAATTAAATTAAATAAACTAAAATTAAAAGAGTAAAAAATAGAATAAAATCAAAGAAAAAAAATTATAATAAATTGTTAAAAGTAAAATAAAAATAAAGAAAATAAAACGGAATAAATTATTTAAAAATAAACTGAATAAATTAAAATGAAATAAAATAATATTAAATAAAATAGTATGAAGTTAACTAAAATAAAATTAAATATAATTTAAATTTTAATTATTTTAATTAAGACAAATAAATATATAAAACAAATATAAATAAAAATAATAAAAAAACAAGGAAAATAAAAATAAAATTTAATGAAATAAAAAAATTAAAACTAATAAAAAAGTAAAAAAAAAAATTAAAATAAGATCAAATAAAATAAAATGAAATAAATTTTAATTAAATTAAAAAGAAAATAAAAATTAAATTAAATTAAGTAAAAAATTAAAAATCAAATAAAACTAAATGCAAATCGAAAAATTATATTACTGAAAAGGAAAAAGTAAAAACAAAATGAAATAAAATAAAATAAAAAAATAATAAATAGACAAATTTGAATAATAAAAGAAATAAATAAAATAAAATAATATAAAAAATGAAAAAAAATGCCATAAAATAAATTTATAAATAAAATCATATGAATTAAAATAAAATAAAATAATATACATTAAAATAAAATCAAATAAAATAAAATAAATATCAATAGAAAAATAAAGTAAAATAAAATGAAGTGAAATAAATTAAAAATAATAATAAATAAATAGATTAAAAAAAAAATAAATAAAACAAATAAAATGCGATAAAATAAAATTATATTATTATATTTATAGAACTTAACAATATAATATAAATAAAAATAAATTAAAATCATATAAAATAAATTAAAATAAACAAAAATAAAATATTACAAAATAAACTAAAACAAAATAAACTGAAATAAATATAAATAAAAAAATTAAGTAAAACAAAATAAAATGAAACAAAGTAAATTTGAAAAAGAAATGAAATAATATAAAAAATAAAATAAAATAAAATAAAATAAAAAATATAATAAATTCAAATAAAATGCCACAAAATGAATTTATAATTAAAATAAAATAGAACTGAATAAAATAATATAAATAAATATAAAATAAAGTTAAATAAAATAAAACAAAACACAATAAACTCAAATAAATATAAATAAGAAAGTAAAATAAAATAAAATAAAATAAATAAAAAAAAATATAAAATTAAGAAAATTAAATTAAACAAATTGATATAAAATAACACAAAATAATAGAAATCAGAATAAAGTAAGGCAAAATAAATAAAAAAGTTAAATAAAATAAAATAAAATTATTTATTCTGTAGGAAAAGTAGTTTTAGTTTCGATTGTACAATATTTGGCAGAATTTTTTCACTAACAACTACTCTCTGAGTAATCTCTAATAACCCTATTCGCATTATTTTAACCTGACATTAATTAACGACATCATGAAGTTCTACTCCAAAGGTATTCCCTATTCGCATGGAGTTGCCACTGAAAATTAAAAAAATTAGATTTAATTTAATCTTATAATTATTTACAGTTTTTGAATTATTTAACTTAACATATGATTTATATAAAATATATTTATGTAATTAAAAGCGGTAATTTACCCGTACTAGTGGTATTATCGCACACTCAATACTCGTACCTAAAACCCCCACGGAGTGGATCAAAGTTAATTGCCTTGAGAAATTTGCCCATACAAAACTGAGATTAATTATTCACTGAATTTGAAATAGATAAAATCAAATTATTTACTAATGAAAATACAATAAGATTGCACGTAACGGTAATAAAAATTGCAAATTTTATTCAATGACTTAATTTTACAATACAATAAAACTAACGCAATCGTAGCTAAATGGATTAAAAAATTTAAATAGCGAAATTCACGAGCAAATGGAAACAAACTAGAAGAGAGCTTGTCCGGGCTGCTTTACAAAGGTGAAGAATATTCATTTTTAAGTTAATTAATTCAAAATAATACTCGGCCATGTTCCTTACAAGCTTTCGAAGGTAGGTGGAAGGATTACCGGACACTTCCGGCCATTAATCAGAGAGAAGAGAGAAAATTCTCTACTTCTTCCTAAGAGGACATCCAAAGAGCATAACGACCGGCGTAATAACCTACCGCTGTCGGAGATAAAGACGGGGAGAAGTCGGTGGAGCATTTCTTCTACCACTGTCCACTATCTTCAGCACGGCCAGACCCGATTTCCTCGGAAATTTTTACATCGACTGACTTACAGAGCTCGCTTCAGTAGCTGTCAGCGTAGACCATCTAAAAGATTAATGAGCTTGACCGGTGATCAGCGATCAGGCAACCACATCATCGCGCTTTTTCTGGCACCGCTTAAGCGATCACTCCTTTTCACTGTTTGGCGCCAGTTGGATATACCACTCTCCACCTGATTCTTCCAACAGAGTGGAGATCTTCATCTTCCCCTGTTTAAACTAGCGGGTACTGCATCGAATACTTTCAAAGCTGGAGTGCCTCCATTCATTCGGACGATATCATCTATGTCAATATAATCGTAAAGCACGTACAGCTGATTATTTCATCGTCTCCCGTATTAGTCGTTGTCAATGCGCAAAGGATGTAGGGATTTCGGATTAACCACCTCCGGTGTTTCATTTTCCCTGCCATTAAGCAGGTTGCAGAAATTTTCCCTCCACAAATTCGGTATGCTCTGGCCAACTGCTACTTGATTACCTGTCTGGGTTCTATAAGAGTAAGTTCTGGTCTTGGTACTTTCTGTTTGCCATCGTTTCTTTCCTTGGAATTTTCCAGCATTGCCGTCCTTGCTACCCCAGTCTGTTTTCTCTCTACTGTGGCACGGCAATCCTTTTCGCTCTAACAACAACACACAAATGATTAACTCCTCTCTATTTGAGAAATTATATTCTTTAAATTTCCGACAGCAAACTTAAATGCTTTCTACAGTGGCGAATATATTTTCGCAAAAAGTAACCGGTTATTGAAATCATTAATTCTACACACTAATTTTGGCGCACACGCTTCAATGTCAATGATTTGCAAAACTTAATTATTAATATCATAATTAACGAATATTAAAAAAAAAATATTTTTTTTCTAAGCACCCAAATGTATGGATGTACATATGTATGTATTATGGGTGTAAAATGTAAATAAATTTTTTATTTCACTACCAACTCAAATTCAAAGTCACAAACATTTCAACAACAGTTTTTTACTGCCAATCATCGGAGAATAAAGGCATATCACTCTAAATGGCAAAATTCGATCATAAATGTCAGAATATATCGTTAAACTGTATTCTTAACTGTCTTTCTGTATATATATATGCATATGTTGTAATACACACAAGCATTTATGCACATATACGCGTGAGTAAGTAGCGTAAATGATGCAAATAGTTCCTGCTTATGTTTACTGCAGCATCATTAACCTTCAGCCAAGTGGTGGTGGTGGTGATGGTAGAGGTGACGTTCGCCAGTTGGATAGTTATTCATCGAGGCTGTCGGGCATACGGTTAGTACTGACTTTTACTTTGATGAGCGCATAAATGTAATAGAAATAAATTCGATTTGTCTGTTTTGCATTTTGTTTGCCATGAGATGCACTCATCATTTTGCCAAGTATTTGCATCTCGATATTTGTACATACACGTATGTGTGGGTATGTATGTATGTACATATGTTGTAAAATCTAAGTAAATGAGTATTTAAAGTGTTGTGAGCCGTGCTTAGGGTGCATACATACATATGTAAGTGATGTGCTAGTCATTACATGCATTTAGAATCTGCGCATGCGCTCATGAAAACCATAAATACTCGCGTTTTATTTATCTTTATGCATATTAGAAGCTACTTTGACGTTGGTAGCATGTAAATATTGATATTCACGGTAAAATAGATTCAATTGAAATGATAACTGTGTTATAGGACAATGATTTTTTGAGGCCAATTTTTTGGATATGAGTACACTAAGTTGGCTTTAAGGCACATAAAACATCTACTTAGTATTTTTGAATATTTTGACGAATAATTTGAAAAGAAAAGCTACAATAGAAACCTCATTTGTTTAATATGTAATAAAGATTCTTTGGAAGAAAAATCCTTTTCTGATTGTTTCAAAATCTTGCCTCTACAGTCGTTATAACGAAATAAGTAAACATTTTTTCTGAGACTCTTTGCCTTGACTTATTGCTAATTAATAACCAATAAATGCCTCATTGGCTGTTGCAATGCAAAGCAATCATTTTTTCATCGATTCAGCAAATTTCCTCAAACGACTGATAGCAAGTTTAGGCCGATCATTCGTTGGTAGTTGCAGCCTTAATGTCATTTTTATTGTGTCACTCACAATTATACGCTAAATCCCTCTTACTAAAATGCCTCAAACGTTCTCTATGTGATTTAAGTCCGGAGATTCTATGATTTCCATGGAGCAACCAGCCAAAAATCAACTCATTTTTTCATTTTCATTAATACGAGTGAGAGAAGGCTGCTGCTTTTCAACATTTGAGTGTAATCTCTGCTATTCAATCGAGATAAAGCCCACAATGTAAAGACCCCCACATTATTACATCACCACCTTCTGCGTTTAGGGAGGTAAAGAGGACTCCTTCGCAAACCTCTCCAGTGTAACATACTGGGTAAAGAAAATATTAAATATTTTTCACCTGAGAAAATAACTTTTTATACAAAGAGGTTAAACAAATAAACCTTAGCTTCCACAGCAATAACATACTGTGTCCCGATTGGTGTAAATGAGTACTTCTGTAAGTCGTAGATGCGCTTGGAGCACCGCAGGTTACAACAAATTATGCTTTTGACACTTTATTCCACACAGCTTCGACAAAGTTAGCGCAAGGCCTGGTAGGGTTCGAGCTTAATGTCATAATTTTTCGTTGATCTCCATGAGAAACTGCCAATTTTCTACCGACTGGCTTGAAAGCTCTGTAATTAAAATCGCTAACAGCTAACAAAGCAAATTTTGGACGTCTGTCTGAAGCAATAAGAAGTGTAGAAAACGAATACTACGAAAGACGTGCAAGAAAAATATCAGGTCAAGTAAAAAGTTCGTTCGGTTTTTTTTTATTTATTTTTCAAATAAGTCAAATATGTACCGCTTTTTTCGTAAACTTGTTGCCAACGAGATGCCAAAATCATTATACCCCTCTCATAGAAGGCTGCTTCCCTATTGGCGAAAAACTCGAAGAGCCAATTTTCTCAGGCCTCCCTTGAGATCAATTTCTCACCATTAAGCGCATTCGCCATGGACAGGAAAAGATGTTAATCACTTCGTGCCAGGTCCGGACTATAAGGTGGGTGCATTATGACCTCTCATCCGTGCTTCTGGAGCTTCTGACGCGTCACCAAAGACGTGTTTGGCCTGGCGTTGTCCAAATGGAACACAATTCGGCCTCTGTTGAGCTAAGATGGCCTCTTCTGGATGGGTGCTGCCTTCAAGCGGTCCATTTGTTGGCAGTAGAGGATTGAGTTATAGCGTTCGCATAGCTTCCACTGTACCATTGCAAGTGATGTGCTCTTATTTATGGCTCTTAAATTATTAGAAAATTACAATTCCTCATATCTTGATTCATATGCAAGGTTTCGTGTGCAGTACCTACATTTTCAGAGCGGCTCTGTAGTTTGTCGATTCCACTCTTCATATGATAATCTGAGCTTAAGTGGATTCCTGATGTTTAAAATCAAGTTGCTGCTCGTAGTCTGAATACTAGCTTTGGGTGGGGAAACTTAAGTACATAGGATTTGCTTGCATCCATAATTCTTTTCTCATTACCGTCACACAAAAAGGGGGGTTTATACCTTACTGTCCATGTGAATATGTGAATTGCCTTTTGAAGAACACTTTACTAGCTTTGCAAAAGGCTTGATCAGAGATTTTATTATGATTTTTTTCAAATACATTTATACGTAATGATGTATTTTTAATTATTTACATAAAAAGGTTCTCATGCCAATAAGTGACGCTCATAAAGCTTCAATCAAAATGGATACTCTCACGTCTGTGTGTTGGTCTGTTTTATGCCTTTAGTTTTTTTACAGCTGTGAGTTCCCTTGTGTATAGAGGTACACACTCATATGCACATATACACATATATATAGTTAAACTATAAAGCAAATTTATTATGTACACAGCTATGTAATTATTGAAACAAGCTTTAAGCATAAATCAAATAATATTAAAGTGAAACTATTTTTTCTGTATTTTATGACCAAAACATGTGTTGCTTTCAAATTTATCATGCATCACATGCAAGCGAAACATTTATTTAAAGAATGCACTTCCAAATACTGGTCAGACCAAGATCCGAAATTATAGAAAATCATATTGAATATATCTCGAGCATGAAACCTCAACCCCTCTGATTGAGAGGGACTCTCAAGTTTGGGTATTTGGATTACGTATCGGCATCCTAAACGGCATATAACTTGATGTTTGAAGGTTTACCATTATATTTTGAAAATAATTTCAGGAAATTAATTAAATTCCAGCCGAGAGATCCTATTTTCGACCAATTCTTGTAGCACTTGGGACTATATGTCAGCACTAATGCGCCGAATATTCTCTTCTAAGGCGTCAAACGTCTCGGCCTTATCTGCATAGACAAGCGACTTCAATAAATTTATTTTTTCGTTGGCTGTAAGACAAGTAGGCGGCGCCCTAGTTCGAACCAGAGGTCGTCCACATCAACATACTCCAATTTAGGCACAAAGAAGTCATTAAACATGGCTCTAGGAGGTGTGAGAAGTCGAGTAATGAGACTGATTATATTGACTTCGATTGTGGTATACCTTCGAACTTGAAATTCCCTTTCCTTACTCCCAGCATCGTTCTCCTCTCCATTGATATATTTGCCATCGCTACAACTTGTTTAGCTCGCCTGTTGTGTCGTGTTGAGTAAACGCGTGTTCGTGGTGCTCGTCACGAAAATGAAAAAAAAAAACGAAATCAAGAGCAACGCGTCGCGTTAAAATTTTGCGCCAAATTGGAAGAAAAAGCTTCGCCCGGGTACCCAGGACCCAGAAACCAAACTCCAAAGCTCACAATGGTTGTCCCCACACGACTCCCGCCCGAAAAAAGCTCGCATGAACAAGTCGAGAGTGAAAACGATGATTATTGCTCCTTTTGATAGCCGCGGAATCGTCCGCAAAGAATTTCTTCCCCCCGGTCAAACCGTAAATCAAGTCTACTATCGCTCGTACTCGAAAGAATGCGAAAACGAGTCAACAGGGTGTGCCAAGACATCGCTCGTAACTGGATCCTTCATCACGACAACGCGGCGTGCCATTCCGCCCTCAGCTTGTCCCGGTATTTGGCCTCTAAAGGTATCGCCGTGTTGCAACAACCGCCTCATTCGTCCGATATATGACCCTCAGACTTTTTTGTTCCCTTGAATAAAATCTGTGATCAAAGGAACCCATTTTGAGTCGATTGAGGACAACCAGGCGGCCGTGACGAGGGTACTCCTGGACATCCTAATCAAAGCGTTCCATAAATGTTAGGAAGCATGAAGAACGCATTGGAATCGTTTTATAACTACTTTGGAGGGGATGTCATAGGTGTAGTATCATTTTGAAATATACGGTTTTTATGAAATTAGTCTCAGTACTTAGTTGTCACATCTCGTATAATGTTCCTTATTTACTGTAAAATTATGGCTGATTCCATTTGCGATGAAATATGGGTAATGATGATTCTCTCTCTCCATCAAGCATCAAGCATATAGTAATTTTTTAAGGATATAACGGCGTCTCAACAATGGCTTGTGAACTATCATCACTCCCATGCGATTTTTTTTTTATTAACATAACTATTCAACCAAAAGTGAGCTGCATCGGTGAGCAACATTTTCATGCGAAAATCAGGATTGGTGGCCGTCTCGTATCCATAACGAATGGGCGACTCGCCTAATGGTCCGAAGAATGTATTGGAGAAGCCAAGCTCCCTTTTCATGGATGCTAGGTTTAGTCATCTTTCTCGTGAAGAGGTTGACCTCAGATATTTCCGGATTTACAGTGTGTCTTGACTTTCCTCTCTGTGATCGGCCATGGGATTGTTTACCCTAAGATATGATGACAAGATCACTCGCGTGCTTTGTCCCTAGTGCAGCCGGTAAGACAGTTTCTCGGATGTTAGGACTTTGGAGTAAAGCCATCCTTATTAACAGATTTCGGGAGGAAAAACAACCTGGATTTTGTCCATCTGCTAGGGAGATCTAAGTATTTTTGTGGGTGTACTGATCAAGCACCTAAGCACTAAGATTTCATATGCACAAGTTAAGTTAGGTGAAATCGGCTGAGAATGCACACAAAGCTGCGAAACTGAAGCTGATGCATAATCTTCATGAGTGACAGGCCTTTAGCTGATTGATACTTTATTATTTCACGATGCTTCCAGCTCCAGCCAGACGGTGGCATACAGGCATGGGTTATACGAACTGTACTCAATGGTATAGGAGCGGTCAGCTCCATAACCTCACCCTTCAATCAACCAAGCAAGCCTAAGTGAACTTCTTTTCGAAAGGACAAAAAACAAATATCCTTTCTTGCTTCTCTCAGGAACTTCGCACCGGAAAGTAAACCATCTGACAGTTTCTCACGCTGTCTCGTCCTTCGTACATTGCTGTTTTACTCGGTCTATTGCATACTCTACTAAGTTCTAGTATCAATTAATGCAACACCATTGAAGATTTGATTTTCCAGAAAACAAATTTATTCAGAACAAATGTAAAGGTATAAAAAAATTTCTGTACAAAATAAAAAATAAAATCACAACACACGAAATTCGAAAAAAAGCACGCTCAGTACAACAAAGCCTTCCAGGTTAGAGCAGATTTTACCACCAACCGCCACCGCTGCTCCAACCACTGCCGCCGCGCCAGCCACTGCCACCACCATAACCACCGCTCCAACCGCCTCCACCGTAGCCGCCACCACCATAACCGCCATAACCGCCGCTGCTGCCCACCGTAATTACTTTGATCACTTTGGGTGATGAATAACCGCCAGACCAACCGCTGCCACCACCATATCCACCATAACCGCCGCCACCCCAGCCACTACCACCATAGCCACCCCAACCGCCTAGACCGGAACCGCCACTAGACCAACCGCCTAGACCGGAACCGCCACCAGACCAACCGCTACGTATATAACCGGCGGAGGCGAAGGCTACCAAAGCGCACAGGACGACAAGGACCTTCATACTTTGGATACGTTCGATGTGAATCACGTTTGGTATGAAATCGAAAATGAGTCTCTTAATACGAAGACGCGTTAAAATGGACGGCTTTTGCTAGTACACGAGTTGATAGCCGAAATTACACTGATATTGAGATGCAAATCGTAGCCGGTATTTATATTCGACACAGAATCATTTATTGTTGTATTTTTCGTAAGTTCTCCGTAAACACACACACACACACACACACACACACACACACACACACGCACACACGCGCGCATGGAGCAACAACTATTGATGAAGTGTCTTCTAAACTAGGCTGACCAACCAACCAGCCAACCAGCCGATCAAGCGACTGTCCAGCGGTAAGCTGTTAAGCGAATTTTAAACGGTGTATGAGTGCATTGCATATCCGCACGTACTACGGCAGTTATAATTACAATGTTGTTGTACTTAAGCATAATATTATCAATGCGGTCGGAACAGTACGACGAGTCGAGTGAACTATTAAACTGCTAACCGAGTGCTGGCAGGCGGTGATGAGACCACGGTCAACCACTTTGCCGCACAGCCAACGCTAGCGAGTTACCGGGCAAAAGACCACACCATAACTCAAGCACACCCGCTCGACGCAAACACTCGACGACACCGCCGTGAGGAGCTGAATGAATTGAATTGAATTGAATTGTACGAATTCTGCGGCAGTGAGTCAATCACGAGCGCTGTAAAATGGTTCTAGTATGTAATGCGTGCCCTATGTAACGGCGATAAAAGCAGTGCACAATAAGCAGTAGCAGAGAAAGAAGAAGAGCAACCAAAAATAAATGCCACAACAGTTTGAAGCGCAATTTGCGATTGTCTCATAAAATCTCACCGTTAATGTCAACGTTGAGCGGCACCACAAGCTGCTGACTGTTGACCGCAAAGCCAGACGTCGAGCGCACGCAATGTGCGAGTAGTGGCCGCCATAGACTACATACTCCGCTGCGCGCTGTTGCGGCAGATGCGGCAAGCAAACCAGTTCTAGCGCCTTATTTATGTACGCAATATCTGCTTCTTCTTCTTTTTTTCACTTTTCTGGGTGTGTTTTTAACTTACGTTTTGGTTGCGGCAATTTTTGGTGGCAACAGTGTGTGACTCACTGCCAAGTGGCTGTAGTCGGCAGCCCACCCGCCAATATGTAGCCACTTAGTGTGCGTGTTGGGCTTATTTACATGAATCGCAGCCACCAGACCGTTCACTTTTCGACCCTTCTTTAGTTAGCGAGGCTTGTTGGAAATGATGTGTGTGGAAAGAAAAATTCTTGTTGATATATCTTTTTCAATTCTTCATCTTATTTGAAGTTCATAAAATGTAACGTTGTCAATTTTCCTGGAGACACGTCATCTTTGGTATTAAAATAAGTAATTTTCCTCTAACAGAGATAATTTTAATCCATCCAATGTTATATGCTCAATTGCCATTTTTCAAAAAAAAAAAAATACATCTCATCATATTTGATGTTCACAAAATGCAACGTTTCCAATTTTCTTTGAGGCACTGCAACTTTAGTTTTATAATTATTTTAGTAGCTTTTTAACTACTCTATAAATTTTTCTCTCACGAAGACAGTGTAAATTAATTGCTATAGGCAAAAATGCCAGTTTTCACAACAAAAAAAATTATACTTATAACATCATATTTGAAGTTCAAAAAGTGCAACGTTAACAGTTTTCGTGGCGGCACTAAAATTTTTTATAATTTTTTTTAAATTTTGGCATTACAATTATTTTATTGTAACAATTTTTTTAAATACTTTCTGAATTTTCCTCTAACAAAGTTAAAGTTTTTTCAATTCCATATGCATTGTTGCCAATTTTCCTCGTAACCTTTAAATCCACCATAAATGTAATAGTATTTTGCTGATTTTATTTCAATCAAAATAAATTTTGTCAGTATTATTATTATTATAATATGATTTTAATCTTTATACATAAGGGATGCACTGTTGCCAATTTTCATTGGTTCACTTTATATTTTTCGAAATTGAATTTAAATTTTAATTTTGCCAAACTAATCAATAAACTTTATTTTGTTGTCTTGTATGCGGCGTTGCTACATTCTTGTATTTATAATTAAATCGAAATAATTTTGGCTTTCGTACTACTGAGCCTTGTTGATTTTTCTAATTATTAATCTTTACAAATGCTCTAAAACTACTTTACATTTTTTTGCAAGCTTTATGATTTTTGCTACATTCATTTTCCCTTACCCAATTAAAATAAAAAAATGAAATCGTACTCTAATTGTACAACGTTGCCAATTTTCTTCAGTTTACATATAACCTGCAATGTTGCCTATTTTTTTGTTTTTCATAATTTTTTTTTGGAATTTGAATTTTGAATATCTAAAACTTCTCTTATAACATCATATGCAGCGCTGCAATTTTTGCTTATTTCTATTGACAAGGTGACATGCCAATTTTCCGCTTCATCAACTTATTTCTTAGGGTACCACATTGCACATTGTACCTTTCACATCATATACAGCAGAGCTATCCTATATTTGAGAATACAATACATTGCCAATTTTCCTTAACTTGCTATAAATTTCGTTGGTAATAGTATTTGCTTACAGTCTGCAGCGTTGCCATTTTTCTTTGCTTATATTTAATTTTTTTCAAGACTTTAAATGCGAATAGCTAGAACTCAATCTCAGCTTACCTCGTTGCCAATTTTCGCTTTACTTTGAATAATACTAACATAAAGCTGAGAATGTGACTTGTTGCTGTGTTCTTTGGTCTACTTTGGGTCTTTCTATTATGGTAATTTCCACACAAAATACAGCATTGCTATTTTTCTGTGCTCACTTTGAATTTACGTTCGAGCGCATCAAAAAATTCTACAAACCTAAATCAACCAAGAAAATAAGTTTTCTTCCAAAATAAAAATTAATTTTTCTAACTACGTTCGTCCCTTGGCAAGGAATGTTAGGCCTATGAGTGAAATAAAAGCTCCTCCTAGAAATCCATTTGCTGTTCGGCGGTGATTTAATATACACTTTAATTCCTTCCATTTGTTGCAATAACGTCCAGACACACACACACCAAAATTTGGAGGACAAGCTCTGCAGAAAATCGTTTGCACAGCGCCAATTACCTAGTAAATTTTACTGGTACTGCGATACGCAATGTTGCCATTTTTCGCTGTACATTTCTAATATAATTTTTTCTCTTTCCCCTTAAGTGTTTCAAGTATCCAGCCATGATAATGGGAATACACTCTCACCTGTATATACAGTATCCAACGTTGCCAATTTTCCCTCTGCTCAATAGGAAAGTATTTTTTTTTAATTTTCAAGTAGTTAAACACTCAGTAATTGGAAATTTGTATGGGAGTCATTGAGTGATTCAACATTAAATTCAATTGAGCTTGAGAGCAATCGAAAAACTTCGAATTTCGAAATTTCGAATAATATCTATATTTCCTGCAGGGTGTTTGTCGGAACACATATACACATATACACTTTTAACTAAGTATAAATATATATATTTCCGCACTTACTTAAGGTCTTAAATCATTATCTCACCTTTAATTACAATCAGGGCCACTGCGACTGTCCACAGAAATAAACGTTGCTGCAGCGAAATAAAAAGTATGCCACAGTGGAGCGAACTGATGGCGCTATAAAATATTTGTTTTCTTATTTTTAATTTATATTTTTTTACTATATTTTGCTCTGCAGATATACAAAAATAGTGTGTTCTTAGCTTTTTTTTTTTTTGAAATTAAATTTAATAAATTAAAACACTACAATTTTGTATTTTATTATACTCAACCGGTAGCGGATGCATATGTGTACACACATACGTACACATATGCCATACATATTCATTTATTTTAGTACTGTGTAATTTCAATTTGAATTTCAAGTAGAATCACATGTCTTTTTGTTTGTATGTATGTATGTATCATACATACATATTACATTAACATATGTACATACATATGTATGAGCAAACATAATATGAAAATTGAGCAATTTTGCGGCTGTAAAATATGCGAAAATGCTTAACACCATTATTAGTAATTGAGTTGCAACAAAACTACATACATACATCCATATGTACAAGTGCATAGTTAGGTGTGTGAAGAGGTTTCGCGACAGTGGCGACAGTAGCCGATTATTAGGCACGACTGCTAGGTGTGTGACATGCATACATATCTACATATGTCTTTAGAGTGAATTGTGACATTTTTTTGAAACTGTGATGTGTTGACGAGTTAATAAGTAGGCAAGTGAATATTAAAAAAAAATTAAATAAAAAAATTTTAAAATATGAAAACATTAAAAATAAAAATAAAATAAAAAATTTAAAAATTAAAACGAAAATATGAAAAGAGATAACAAGAGTCTCAGAGAAGAGCTTCTAATTTTGCTACGGGGAACAAAAGAAAAAGTAAACAAATCCAAACGCCAAATGAAAAACCTTGGAACTTAAAGGGTTATATGGATTCGTTCGGGGGATAAAGGTTTATTTTGAACAATTTCTTTTTTTTTGAATAAATACAGATATACATTTTTGAAAGAAAATTTCTGAAGTTTTTACAGGAAAATATTCAAAACTCCTTCACTACGAAGTAATTTCCGGTGATGCCCCACTAAACGTCTGCGTTGACAGTAGAAGTCATGACGCGATCATTTTGAGTGAAAAAATTTGCATTTTACTTAATACCATCGACCCGGTATAAGGGGACTGTGGGACGGCATTTCAAACTGCTTACGTACAGCTGCAAACGAGACTATTGGGTTTCGAAAACGTTGCAAAGGGTACGACAAGGACTGCCGTGTCGTGGTGGAGAGAAAACAGACTGCCAACCTTGCGATCGACCACAACATGTGCGGGGTGGGATAGATACTGAGAGCTGAAGAGGAAAAGCACAGAAGAAACAGAGAAGCTGGCCGAAGGTTTCAAGACTGGAGCAGACTATTGTAGGGTACAAAGAGGTGATCTAGTCAACGATGCCCAGAGTATATTGAAGTTATGGAGGGAACACTTCGCCAACCTGCTGAATAGTTATGGAGAATATGGAGATGGTGAACCAGAAACTCCAATCGATGACGATGGAAAAGACGTTCCATTACCTGACCAAGAAGAAGTTTGAATAGCAATCGCCCGCTTAAAAA